CCAAAGAGCATTACGATGGTAGACTGTGATTACGTATCCAGACCCACAAAGGACTTTCCCCTCATTATTTAGTCCTATACACTCCTTGCCAGTATTTAGGGATAATTTCAAAGGTTCAGAGTTGGTATTATACACGAATGAAGCCCGTATATGTGTATGAGAGGAGGTAACAGTGTGTCTCTAGAGCCAAAACATAGCTGGGTGTTGTGTCGTATCAAGTGTAAGCCTCTAAGTTGACCTCTACACAACGTAACAAAAATCCAGCTGTGGTGAAGAGACATATAAAAATAATTCTTCCAAACTCAAGTGAAATTCAATCTTGATGGGACACTAAAAAACGTAAATATTCAAAGTTACCGTAATATTAGTAAGTTCTGATCCCGTTAAACACAGCCATGAACGTCTCCTGTACATATAAATGCTACAAGTAACAGCCTTTTGTCGGATATAAACCCTTCTAGTAACCCCTTAACCCTTTGAAGACGATGGTGTAACCCCTTGAGAACGATGGGTTTAACCCCTTGAGAACGATGGGTTTAACCCCTTGAGAACGATGGGTTTAACCCCTTGAGAACGATGGGTTTAACCACTCGAGGACGATGATTTAACCCACCAAGACTCAAAGGGTTAAGCTTTATAAACGAACAAGGAACTGTCTATCCTGGTGTGGTGTTGAGTGAGACGAGTGGGTAATATCTGATTCGTTTATGATGGCTCTCTACAGTATATACGCAGGTGAAACGGGGATGAGTACTATTCCTATTGAATATATACACAGGTAATGAGGGAGAGAGAGAGAGAGTCAGAGAAATATACATAAAATCAGACAGAAGCAGGCAGGCAGACATAGAAAGATAGACAGTGAAAGGCAGGCAAACAGGTAAGACAGGTAAGCAGCGAGAGACAGAGAAAAGAAGCAGGTAGTGAGAAGGAAAGAGAGAGAGAGATAGATAAACACACACACACACACACACACAAAGAGAGAGAATACATCCAAAATGATCAGTCGTTGAGAAAACTTTTTTTTTTTGGTCCATGGTAATTTGATTTCTCCCATTAATAAAGGATAAAGTCCAACATCCACACACATCATACACGTTAATGTCACCAACTTTTACCATTCCACGAGTTTATTACCAAGTTAATGATTCTGTATGCGGACTGTTGACTTTTCCCCCAGTGGAATTTGAAATACATAATATATTCTCTCGTGTGTGTGTGTGTGTGTGTGTGTGTGTGTGTGTGTGTGTGTGTGTGTGTGTCTGTGTCTACGAGCTTATACCAGTAATCAAAGCCGTATTGTAAGGGGAACAAGCTAATACTGAACCACGTTGAGCCACGACTAAGAAAAACTAAGAGAAAAACAATAATCACAAACTACCGGGTGGATTCGTTTAGAAAGCCAGATGATGTGGTCAATGAACAAGTGCCGGGACGCTGGTTGACTGTATGTATGACAGAAGAGATTGGCCTTCATCCATCTATTGAGTGACACAGGCTGGTAGGAGTGGTTGGTGGTGATAGTGGTTGTTGATAGTGGTAGTGGTGATGGTAGTAGGGATAATGATCATGGTAGTAGTGGTGGTAAGTGTGGAGAGTTCTTATACACACAGGCATCAATAGGCAAAGCTGGAAATTGAAAGTCAGATCATCTAACCTCCGCCAGCCACAAGCACGGCATACAAAACTGAAAGTATCGTACCAACACCTGAAAACACACACACACACACACACCTCCCACACACACACCATATAACTACACTTTATAATCACAATACACTTACTGTAGAAGACACACTACTCTTACATGGCACATTTTTTACGAATTCTTTAGCCAGTGACTAGGAAACAATGTATAACCTTAGCCATTCTCTTGGTGTGTGTGTATGTGTGTGTGTGTGTGTGTGTGTGTGTGTGTGTGTGTCCTGCTAAACATACTTGTGAGTGTATATAGATCTTCTCTATCTCTAAAAACGAAAACAAAATAATAATAATACTATAAACACAACTTTTAACTCACGGAAATAACTCCTTCACCTGACGATATTTAAAAGAACATATGACGACACACCTTGACTTTGTTTACAACCCCTCCTGTAGCCTTACACCTGTCACAGACCATTGGGACCCTCCTCTCCTTCACCCTCTTCTCCTTACCTCTTCCTCCTCCTCTCCTCTTCCTCTTTTCCTCCTACAGCAGAAACATTCATTCTCTCTCTCTTCTCTCATCCGCCTCTTTCTCTCTTTTGTTTCTCACAGTCTTTCGTTTCCCACCTTTTCGCACAAATTTTTCCTTGTGACACACGCACACACACACACACACACACACACACACCCCCCCTTGGGTCTCGCTACTGTCCAGATGACGTCAACTCTGCGTCTTACAAGTCAGCATCCAGCACCTTCTTCCGTCTCCTTACCACCACCACCACCACTAACCCGTGTCCTCTCAGTTACCACGATTATCACCACCACCACCACCACTCTTCCGCTACCAGCAATAACAACAACAACACCTTCACTATTATTACCATCAACATATCTTCCTCCTCCTCTTCTTCACTGAGCTAGACCAAACACTATTATTACCATGCATCTCCTCGTCTCTCCACGCCCATCACTATTCTACCCTCGTCTTCGCTGCACCCATCACCAACAGCAACACCTACTACCCACCGCTTCCTTCACACCCATTACCACCACCACTACTACCCTGCCTCTTCCACACCTACTACCCACCGCTTCCTTCACACCCATTACCACCACCACTACTACCCTGCCTCCCCCACACACCACCACTACTGTTTCGCCTCACCTCTTCCCACCCATTATGACTATCACGCCTGCCGCAGCTCCCCCTTTACCACCACCATTACCACCTCCACAATCACCACATTATCATCACCACCATCATCATCACAAACCCTACCACCACTATCATTACCACCATCACCATCACATCACTATCACCACATCACCATCACCACCATCACTCCCTGCTACTGGCGGACCATGAGCAAGCACCCATTATATCTTTTAGAGTCAAGGACACAGACTCGTCCATACCTCCACCTCAACACACAGTCAGTCACCGAAACGGAGGCACGTAAATTTATATAAAAAAATGTATAAAAAAATATATATATAAGAAAAAAAATTAAATAAGGATTAGACACCCAGGTTATTTCACTTAAAGATCAACCACCCTGACTCTACCTCAAGAGATAGATTAAGTAAGGTTAATTTAAGTTTGTAGGTGAAATAAACTGGGGTGTCTAATCTTCAGGTGATCCGAAATCGCTATCAGTAAATTAATAACACATCACAAAGGTCTCCAGGTCACGTACCCTTGAAATTTGTTCGGAAACTTCAGGTCATATATTTCACAGTGTTTTGGTCTCACATTTGGTCTTAATTGAGTCTTTATTTTTTATTTTTAACTTCAACTGAATACTATCGCTCAGGACGAACAGGGGTTACAATATCCGTCGAGGTAATTGCTCTCTCTGGACACACACACACACACGTTGAAAATTAATTGAAACAAGATACCGGACGAGAAACACTCACAAACACTGAAGGAACAATAACTCAATTAACAAATAATTCTAAATATAAAATATAAAAATATTAAAATCCTTCGTGTGTTTGTCTACATCAAAATGAAAATTAGTTTTAATAAAGAAATTCTTGACTTACATTACCAAAAAAGCCCAAGGACATCAGTGTATCATAACCCACAAACCACATCAGTTTAACTTATCAACAATACACTGTTGTTTAGAGGGTGAAAAGGTCAAAGGTCAGTCAACATTTGAAGAAAGGAACCAGCTGACGTAAGTGGGCACCTCACTCAAATACACCTTAGTTCAAACGACTCATTATCTTTACCAAACATACGAGTCAACTTAACATCCCAATTGTAACAGGTTGAGACCGAGTCAACCAGAAGAGAGGTTAACTGTATGAAACACACGTTAACTTACTCACAATAAAACATCGTTAATTAAGCTCCTTCTAAACAGTTAAAATTATAAACATAACTAAAGATTATCATAAATGGCTGATAACACTCCTATTGTGGTAAACAAAATCACTTACCTTCACAAGTTCAAGTAACATCTTTCCTAGTGGTCAACAACACGGGCAAACCAATCACACAATTTTTCACTGAGTCACCAACAACACATTTATTTCCTCACTGTAACCTCTACCCAGCACGGTACACTACAGAATGATGTCAACCTTTCTTGTGACAAGTCCAGTACATATACTGTATGCACAACACTTCGAGTCAGCTGCTGCTTGCGTTGACCAATAATAACGTGGCTCCCTCTCGTGCCTTAACGTGTATCAGCCAGTTACAACCGCTCCTCTTCATGCCAAAAACCTTTCCACCTGACTGAGACCCTCGTAATGACCAACTAGCTGTTATAGACACACATGACACTTGCAAGTTTGTAGAAGCTCCCAGGATAGACTACAAGCGTAACTACAGTAAATATAAAGGTTATATATTTACCGCGATATTCGTTTAAGTAAAGTATCCTTAAGAGCAAACAATCAGTGTATGAAGAAAATTAATTGAGCGAAACTTTAATAACAAATTGAGGAGATATTTTCAGAGACAAGCAAGAAATAAGAAACTGTGTGAAGAATGTTGCTACGATGGTTAGGTAAAGACACACCAGGGGTCACATAAGGTCTTCCTAGCTATAATCTAAATATTTCACAAGGCTAAGAGAGAAAGTCGAGTGTAAAACTCTGCCCCCAAAAAAAAAGTATGCAAAGACAGTCTTCGCCGTGAAGGTTCAACTGCTATAATTCCAACACTTTCACTAGGTCCCATTTTCTGTACTCAACCAAAAATATTAAAAAAGAAGGAAAGTTTTGTAAGGGGATACTACAGTAAACGAGGAAACCCATGCATTTTGTCGGAACCGCGTCGTCCCTCGAATCCATCATCACTTCTAATATAAACGACTTTCACTTGTACTCACGTGGTAAATTTTGGTTCCCATATCACTGCAAAACGTAATCATTGCCCTGAAAAGAAAAAGAGACAATACTTACAAAATTCTTACATAAAATAGAAAAAATACGTAACTTACGAACTAGAATTGTAGGGTATTGTGATTATACAATATAGGTTTTCTTGCATAAAATATTAAAACAATAGTGGATTTAAATTTCATTGTCAAACAAAGCAAATGCAGAGGAACTTAATTTCATTACACTTACGAGTAAAATAAAGGAGAGAGAGCTGCAAATCTTACATCTCATTAAGCTCTCTCTCTCTCTCTCTCTCTCTCTCTCTCTCTCTCTCTCTCTCTCTCTTCGACAGACCTTGTATACTCTGTTTCGCGTCTGTTGTGTTTCCTGTCGGTGAATCAAAACGTGGATGTGTGCTGAACAGGTGAAGGTTAAAAGACCGAGAAAGATAAATTGTTTTGTTTAATTTCCTGGACAAATAACGCACACGGTAGGACGTAACCGAAGATTAATAATAATAATAATAATAATAATAATAATAATAATAATAATAATAATAATAATAATAATAATAATAATAATAATAATAATAATAATAATAATAATAATAATAATATTAATAATAATAATAATAATAATAACAAACAGACTTAAATGAAGAAAAACAGTAAAAAAAAATTCTGTTTCATGGGGGCAACTTAAGAAATATAAATTATCTCCAAAATATTATATAAAAAAAACATCACAGAACATAACCCGTTTGTGATACTCGACGCCCGACCTACGTGACCGACTCTTAAGGTTGACTATCACAGCCTATGTATGATACGTGACTGGTTACGTAAAGTTAATTATTATAATCTGTTCGTGATGGCTCCTCTGGTCTACGTGACTGGTGCTGTGGATGGACGACCTCACCCTATCAGTAACTAATGGCATCAGGTCTCCATCATATAGATTCTGGCATCCTCAAGAAAATCAATAACTTTAATCTCCCAAATTCATCAGCCTTCCTGGTCTGAATTACCCCTTCCCCAGGACCCGACATCTAGCCTTGGCAGTGAGAGATGTTCTTACACTGGAAATAATGAGCATCTACAATTCACCGTAAATCACATATGATAGAAAATGTTGGGCTATGGTTGATCGACTCGACTTAGTGTTTATCATTGTCTGTTTACCTGTACAGTCTTTGGACATTGTTAGTATACCTACAATATTTATGTACATTGTTTAAATACCTCAATGTTTATGTAGAGAGAGAGAGAGAGAGAGAGAGAGAGAGAGAGAGAGAGAGAGAGATAAGTTCAAGGAATTAGTGCCCATTTTGTCAACAGTAACAGGAATAAGAATAAAAAGTAATATATAATTAAATATTATAACTAATTTAGGTAAATATTAAGTTTAAAATACAATAAAATATATGTAATAACGAGAATGAATAAAGATAATAACCAGGTTAGTAGGAAGGAGAATGAATGAAAATGAAAGATGTGTGAAAGTGTGGCAGTACTTTGGGTCCATAGATGTAAGTCCGGTGGTGGTGGTAGTGGTAGGGATGTTGGTAGTGGTTGGGATTTTGGTAGTGGTGGTAGTGGTAGGGATTTTGGTAGTAGTGGTATTGGTTGGAGTGGTGGTAATGGTAGTAACGGTAAAGATGATTGTAGTGGTGGTGGTAGTGGTAGTACTACTGGTGGTTGTAATGGTGGTGGTGGTAGTAGTAATAGTGGTAGTGTTGGTGATGGTGGGTTGGCAGTTTAAGTAACACTGTCAGGCCAAAGTAAATAGTGTCTAAGAGAAAACGTGTCTAGACTGGCAATACTGACCCCGAAGCAAACCGTGGATCTAAGGCTGGGACACCTTAATTGGTAACACTCTCACACTCGGTAGATATGCGGAAATTTAGCGCATTTCCGGAATGACAAACACTAGAAAAAAATGAAATTAAATGCATCTGTGTGTGTGTGTGTGTGTGTGTGTGTGTGTGTGTGTGTGTGTGTGTGTGTGTGTGTGTGTGTGTGCACTAGATCTGGTAACACTGGGACCAAAGAAAGTGAAGGTGGAGGGAGGGAGGGAGGGAGGGACGTAGATGCCCTGGGGAATGGAGGGGAGGGAGGGTGAGTAGGTAGTGACGCCCAAACTGGTTTAGACGAGAGGAGAAAGTCGGCGTTGACGACGTGCATGCCCAGATTGTGTACTGTATGAAGTGAAAGTTATAAATGGAAATCTTGTTTTGGTAATAAGAAGAAGCGAAAGTTAGAAAGCACACGATGACACCAGTGAAAGTAGAGGTGATAACAGAGAAACTTTTAAGAATGAAAAGTAAGGGAGGAATCACCTGAAGATTAGCCCCTCTCCTCCTCCTAGCTTATTCCACCTCATGATTAAACTCACAATGATACTTGGCGGGGTTAGCGTAGGGGTAGGTAATTTTAAGGTGAAATAAGCAGAAAGAAACATAGGGAGAGAGAGTAAACAGAAGAAAATGGAAGAAAGAAGAGGAAGAAAGTGCTGTGAGAGTGAGAAAGGGGAAGAGGAGGTAAGGGGTGGTTTCAAGGAAGAGAGAAAGGGAAGGAAAACAGGAAATATACAGTATACAGGAAGGAGGGAAGGAAAGAAGGAAGAGGGAACGACACCACCCAACACATATTAGAAAATCCCTTTAGAGAGAGAGACAGAAAGATAAAGAGAGACAGAGAATGTGAGATATGACGAAAAAGAGACCATATTATCCCTGCAATGGCCATCAGTAACATATACAGTATATAAAAATATTATTTAATTGGGTACATTGAATTACGTAATAGTCACCTTCCCCAAAAATATCCATCCACCACTCTGCAAAAGTCACAGAAAATGGATACCTTTTTCTGGGATTTATTTCTCTATATTTGAAAGATCGTTTCACCTGTGTATTGAACCATGCGTTTTATTTTTCGTTTTTTAGTTTCTTATTTATAAAACGAAGACTTGTTTCAGGTGGGTTACGACAGGAGAGGAAATAAAAAAAAATACAAAGAAATTGGGTCATTATTTGTAATTTAGTGTCTCGTGTCTCCCCCATTCACTCCCACATGACTGGTTGGTGAACTTTAACCTCTGTAAAATGGCCAGAAAGGAAAAAAATATATATACAAATCTATTTATAATGCTGTTTGGGAGCTGTACCAAGGAGTCTTTGTACTCAACCCAACGAATATTAGCTCAGTTACGACAGAATAGTTAACCTTTGTACCTTATCAAATGACCAAATTCCACATATCACCCTTTTTGAAAATAATGCACCAGTGTCAACAATAGGGTGTGTTTGTGTTAACTATTATCTATGGTGGTGTAAATATGACCAAACAGCAGCTTAAAATATACGATTTTATGTCATTGAACTTTGACCTCATAAAATCCTATTAAATATGTAAAAAAAGAGGGAAACTGTGCATAATAGATAAACGTTGATTCAGTGATAAAGAAATAAAAAAGACTACAGAAAATTAATAAACATATGCAGAAGGAGACAAGAAAAGGAAGTCAGAGGAGCAATATATGTTTACGTAGACACTGGCCCTGGGAGTTGATGCCACTGACGACCACGTGTGTTGGAGAAAGTCAGAGGTGAGGTGAGGGAGGGGCGAGGCACATGTGAGGGAAGAATGAGGCACAGGTGAGATGAGGAAGAGATGAGGGTGAGGTGAGGTGAGGGAATGGTCAGGTACAGGTGATGCAAAGGTGAGGTAGGGGTGAGGGAAGGGTGAAGTACAGATGGGGAAGGGTGAGGTGGAAGTACGGGCGGGTAGGTACAGTAGATAGGGGGTAAGGTAGAGACAGGCGCGCACACACACACACACACACACACACACACACACACACACACACACACACACACACACACACACACACACACACACACACACACACACACCAACGTTTGATCATTCAATTTCTTGCGTCTATATACAGTATAGGGGGAAAACCACAAAATCGGAAAAAAATACGACTCAATCTGCCACGTGATGGACGAAGTTGACTCGGTGTGTTAAATCTGGCTGTATAGTTTAGATATACAGAGATATATAGACAGAAATAGACACACACAAGCATATATAAACAGAGGGACAGTGATGTGGATAGAAATACTCAAGCAATAGAGAGAGTAGCAGTGTCAGAGAGTAACAGTGCCAAGGAGTAACAGCAACAGACAGCAACAGTGACAGACAACCGTGGCAGGATCACACGATATCGCCGGGGGAATTGTAATCTTTCGGCCATCAATCGTGCGAGCCACACACCTCGGGGTGAAAGTGACAACACATTCTATCTCTTATGGTTAGGAAGTCCCCGGGGTTAAAGAAAGGGGGCAGGAGAAAGGGGAAGGAGGGAAGGAAAGGTGGGAGGGGGTAAAGGGAGGGAGGAGAGAAGGAAAGAAGTAAGGGTAGGAGTGGAAGAAGAAGACATAAGGGGGGGGAATAGAGAGATATGAGCACCCATGGGGAATATACAAGCTGCAACTGAAAACCAAGACATCGAACAACAACAACACGTATCAATATACTATTAATTTCCAGCCATTAAAAAAAAAACACTAAAATACTTCCTCTTCCTAATTACGAGTTCTATTCTTTTAAAGACAAAAAAAACAAAAATCACATTGACACTTTCTTTTTCCGTTCACCCTCCTGAGGCAGAACGGATACACTAAAACTACGTGCGTGATAGTTTTAAGACTGTCTTAATCACAGCAATCAGCACCAGGACGGTGGGTTTTTTTTTTGCAATTTGTCAGTGGTTAAAAGCACATATTTAGTGAACGGTGCTTGATGAACATAGTAGTTGAAGCACTTAAAACAGAAAATAAACTAGAATCTATATGATACAATAATAATGCGTGGTTCTATATGAGTTTACATGTGTGTTTATGTGTATAAAATTTTTTTTGTGTTTTTCTCGACTCAAACACATAACTAAAATTACCCTTTACCTATAATCAACCCTTTATAGCAGAACTCAAATGACTCAACTTATTATGATAAAAAGCTATTCTCATTTAAAGTAAGTTTTTC